GACTGGTGTGATATCTGTGGAGTTTGTAAGAACTTAGTTGAATTTGGCCGATCATCTAACCAAAGGGTTAGCAAGAAATCTTGTGCACAAGGCGGCTGTATGGATGGGTTTGAAGTCCACTTAAAATCTTTTATATTGAGATACCCAATTCCCATCTAATGTAATATTAGATGTTGAATCCAATATGGAAAGCTTGATATTTAAAGATTGGAACACATTTTATCAACATCCCAAGGTATGTGTTCAGTACTGCAAGTTAAGAAGGTTGAAGTTTATTTCTTAATAGTTCTTTGAAAAATTGCATTTGCAGGTGCAAGAACAAAAGAACTACCTATATAAGTATGAAGTTTAGCTGCTTCAAGAAGTTGGGACTTGACTTTGATATACTTATTGAAGGATGGGACACAAGCTAGTAAAATATAGTATCAAGTTAGAACTTATGAGAATGTAAATTGTTGTGTGTATTATCTTCATGTATTCACTATGAATAGAAAGGGTTCAATCCGTACTAACACCCTAATATTCGGATATTTGGAATGAATAATATACTAATGTGAAATTCAATCGTCACGACATTTCATTTATGCATCAATTTGTTGTTGTTATGTTTCATTTTAAGTTAATCAAGATTATACTAAAATGGGGGAGGTTTGTTGGTGATTTTGATCATCAATGTTATTTAAATGTAATGAGATTACTTTGTGTTGACCAAAAATGATCTTGATAAATATTAAACAAGTAAGGAAGGTGTGGAGTACACACTTGTTTAAGTTTGATCAAGTTTCAAAGTACACTGTCATTTAGGGGCGAAGCCCCTGAACGAACGGGGGTCCGGGGGCAGCGCCCCTGGGAGCGGGGTCCAAGGGGCGGCAGCCCCTGGCTGGGATCGAAAATTGATTTTTCATCAGAAAATTGATTTTTCAGATAACTGACCATTGGTTTGACCCTTATCCATATATCCGTTTTATGACAGTTTTTATGGTTTTATGATAGTTTAAAACTGTCATATGACAGTTTTCAGAAAAAGTTGTTAAAGTTGGTTTTGATCTCATTTTCTGGTACATACGAAAATATCATCAAACATTCTCGGTTCTTGTCTCTCTGAGTCTTATCCAATTGAAGATTTGGGAGTACCACAAAATACTTCGATTTGAAAGTGATAATCACAATTCTCATAATTTCCAAGCTTTTCTACACCCAAATTTCTAACAAAAACTTTAGATGAAAGTGAATGTAAAACTTGATTAGTATCTATTTATTTTATTAAGCAAAAAAACTGATCAAATAATATTCTAGAACGTTAGAAGCAAACGTATGCAAGCTCATAGCTTTTTTTTTTTTTTTTTTTGTAGTTTAAAAGCAATAAAAATCTGTTTGGTTGATTAACAATTTCTCAATTGGTCGCTTTCAAACTTCAAAAAGAAAAGTGAAATTGCTCTAGCTCGCATGAAAAAATAAAAAAGTTAAAGAGTTAAAAAAAAAAAAAAAAAAAAAAAAAAAAAAAAAAAAAACCCTTATATACAGTTTTAAAATTGTTCTACGATTTCCATAAACGATTTTCAATTTCGGAATTGTCTTATTGTAAATTGCTATTTACTGTGAAATGTTTTTGTATGATCCCACAAAGAAAAGTATACTCCAAACTTTTCTTTCAAGCTGCCAAAATTATTCATATCAGAATCATAATTTTTTATAGATATTTTTTGTTGTAGAGAGCTTCAAAAATTATTTTTGGAATAAAAAAAATTATAATACTTGTTGTAAATAGGACAACTGTAATTATTAAGACTGAAAAGATGATCCAAATTGAAAGTCAAATCAACTTACAATTTTTTTGCAGGGTATACAAGTTTTGCCAATTTTGCGATAGCTTGGAGGACGTTTTTGCATATAAATAAACAGAGTCAAAAAATGTTTGAGGGAAACTGCAAACATGACATGTATACCAGAATGTACTGATGCTCTGAGCTTCTGAACATATATTCTTTCACATAAAAAGCGTTTCTCCCTCTATCTCTCTCTCATATATATAAACCCATACACACACAGAGAAAGAGGAAGCAACGTTAATGGCGATCGACTCATCACCGGAAAAATTAGCCGATGAGGCTCAAGTATTCATACCGGAAGAGTGGGAGGAAGCAGCGGAAGTCGTTGCTTATGATTCAATAACTTGTCCGCCTCCGATTTGCGTCATCTGCGGCCCTCCAAACAGCGGCAAAACAACCTTCTCTCGTCATCTTCTCAATGTTCTTATCCAACGGTATACTCTTACAATCATACTCATTTCGATGAGATTAGATATTTTTTTAAGGCTAAATGTATAGACTGTTTAATCTGTTTCCATTTTTGTTCATACAGATACAGGAGAGTCGCTTACTTGGATACAGACGTAGGTCAAGCTGAATTTACACCTCCAGGATGCTTATCACTTACTCTGGCTGACAAAATAACTCCAGGTTTTCATCAATTCTTTCATGTTTCTGTGATTTGATTAATTAAACTGCATGATAATCTACATTCTACACATCTGAATTGTGCATTGAATCGGCATTAACGGCTTGTCTCTTTCTTAATTCCAGATCTGGCGATTCCATGCTTGAAAACGCCTGAGAGGTATTTAACTATTTATCTTCAATGCTTTGGAGACTCTCCATTTTTCTCTAGTTATATAATCGTAAACGCTTGTCCTGTTTTAACGACGTTCTTTACATGTTCTAAACCTCTGCAGATGCTTCTTCTTTGGTGATATATCTCCAAGAAAGGATCCACAGACGTATCTGAAATACATACACGAACTGTATGATCACTATCACCAAATCATCAGGGGTGAACATCTCAAAATCGGTGTTCCCCTGGTTGTCAATACTCCTGGTTGGGTAGAAGGTTACGGACTTAACCTACTCATGAACATGCTAAAACATATTGCTCCTACGCAAGTGATCAAAGTCCATCTCCCTACTGAAAGTAAGAACCTACCAACTGGAGCATTTTGGTTACCAGATCCGGCTTCACACAACGTAACCCTAATTGATATCAATTCAAATCGCCAGGATTCCTCAAAGAAATCGTAGGCAAATCTCATATTTCTATTTCTATTTCTAATAATCAAAACTTGACCTTATGAAAATGAGATTGTTTTTGTTTATTGTTCACCCAGGGTGCAATCACAGGATGATGCACGGCTTCTTCGTGATCTTCGCTTGCTGGCTTATTTCAGAAAATGCTTCCCAATTAACATGAGTTTAACCACAATCCAGGAGCTTGATCATGCATTAGCTCTACACGCTCCTTATGAAATTCTCATGTCCTCTGTAACAATCAAGCAACTACATTCCCAGGTGAATTAACAATCTCGAAACTGGATAAATTAACAGTTTTCGTTCATGTAATCCTTTCCATTTCCTTAAATTACTTATAGTTGGGATTTTTAGGATATGGAAGCATTCTACAAATCAAATTGCAGTATTGTCGCATTGGCTGATAGCTCTTTAAGTAGTCAAAATTCACCCTGCTGTGTTGGCCTTGGTATGATACTTTATATATTTGATTTTCATTAATAATTAATAAATAGTGCTAAAATTGTTCGTTATGGATTCAGGAATTGTGACAGAGGTAGACATGTCAAGAAAGATTATGTGTTTGATTACGCCTGTTCCAGAACACATACTGGAGAAGGTTGATATTTTACTTCATGGTTTAATCAAAATCCCTGCTTGTTTGATCGAGGTACGTAAAAGAGTTTATTAAACTGTTTTGAAATTTAATATATAATAAATGCTATATTATTTACACAATTAACTGTAATTAACTAATGTTTATTATTTATAAACAATAAACAATGTTGGTCAATAGATTTTGATTTTTGAAAATAAATGGTTACATTTTCAGGTGCAGAGACACAAGACTTCAAGTAGTGTGCCATTTAACAAAATAAATATCGATTGAACATGTTCGAACATTTGCTTTATTAATTTACTTTTGTAGATGTTATGTCTTTTTCTCTGGTTAATTAGCTAAAACTCTAATTTTTATTAAATGAGATACCAAGTCATTATATAAAATAAAAAAAAAAAAAAAAAATGTTATATTTATAATTATATGGATATGGTTATGTACATTATTTGTTGCGACCTAACAAAGGATGCAAAGAAACGACGTCGGAATTTGCTTTTCTGTTGAATATGTTTTTGAAATTTTGTAGTGCAGAGGTCTGAATTTGCTTTTCTGTTGATTTGGTTATTTTCACAAAAATGGATCTGTTGCAAATTGCCGTGTAAAATGGGTGTTTGTCACAAAAAAGGAAACGCTTCTCACCAGTCACCACTTGTTTACTAATTTTATATTTGTATGTAAAAAAAATAAAAATAAAAATCTTTTTTACAACCTCACTTTCTTAATTTCATTTCACGCCCTGATTATATTTATGTGTATGTGTATATCGTTAAAATTACATAACCAAAATTATGTATCATATTTAACATTGGTACTTAGAAGTTCCATCAATATTGGAATCACATTAAAGATATTGACGTGTTTTTAAATAAGGAAATTATGTAAAAAAATATTTTATAAGTTATAAGGACATAAAAGAAATTTTTGTGAAACCCATTTTTTACGAATCATTCTTTTCTTTTTTCCTTTTTTTTTTTTTTTGTTCAAAGAAGACTAATTCTTACAACGAAATTGCAACTATCCAAATTTTACAAATCTTTTTGAAAATAAACCCATGTATTAGAGAAACTCCGAAAATTGCATGGTTAACCATTAATTTAGGTAAAAACATTCAACTAACCTAAAACATTGGGAATGTCTTTTAGTCACTAATCACTTCAAAGTAACCTTGTTAATATAGTATCACGCAAACATACCTTCTCTTTAGCTAAAAAATCTAGAGAAAAGCGAGTCGATCTCATTACTTTCTTAACAATTTGTTCCTTCCTTTCACCATTTCGCCATTTTTCCATCAATTAGGTTTGTATTTGGTTTTTTACGAGAAAATGTCAGTATCAAAAAGAACATTTCGGATGTTCGTGGAGGAAGAACTAGGTGAATTCCCACATTTCGTGGTAGGAGCCATGCTCGAATGGTTACTAATAGCCTCCCTTTTCATCGACCGGTTTCTTGCATTTATGTCAAACAAATTCGCCATGATGTTCGAACTGGACCCACCGTGCGTTTTGTGCACACGAATCGACCAATCCCTCGTGGGCACCAACCCTAGCACCTACTACAACAACTCCATATGTGAATCACACAAAAAAGACATCTCCTCCTTAGCCTACTGTCACGTCCATCGAAAATTATCTGATATCCGAAACATGTGCGAAGCGTGTCTCCTCTCATTCGCAACAGACAAAGAAGCAGATTTCGATGAGATCAAGAAACCCGTTGAGCAAAAAGACACGGTTGCCCCTAAGGATCAACAAAAAGACGATGACAACAACATGTCAACACCGAAGAATCTGAAACCGGTGAAAACAAAAGCAACGAATGGGAATAATGGTGGTAGTAGTAAGGATGGTGAGATGATGAGCAAGTGTTGTTGTTGTGGTGAACCTTTTACTACAAGAACTCCTTCAAAAGCTTTTGTTAGGACACCTGCGCATTTACACGGGACATCTGTTTTGACCCCTAGAGCGCCATTGACGCCAATGGGATGGCGGAATGATGATGCCAAGAATATGGAGTTGCCTCATGTTAGGTATGCACCGCCTAATTTTACATCGGATAATGAAGCAGATGTTGCTAAAAATAACAAAGGATCGAATACTGAGTCTAAAGGTGAGTTCTTTTTATGGTCTAATATTTGAAGTTATGGATCTTATCTATATGATGTTTGTAGTAGGTAAAGAGGAGATGAAATCCGCAACAAATCCACTACTACCTGATTCTGATGAACTAAATGATGAATCTTTGAAAACCCCAAAAGGAAACAAGTTCTTCGGGGTCCCACTTGCGGAAGTTATTGTCAACAGTCCAAGATTCGCCAACAAACTACTACCCAAAAAACTTCCATTAGAAAAACTCGATTTCCTCTCCGATGATGAGGGACCCGAAGATGGGGATTCCATTTCCATTGTTCATCACCTCAAAAAACAAGTCCGTGCAGACAGAAAAATACTCACGGATCTCTATCAAGAACTTAACGAAGAGCGAAGCGCTTCGGCTGTCGCAGCTAATAATTCCATGGCGATGATTACTCGATTGCAAACCGAGAAAGCTTCAATTGAAATGGAGGCGTTGCAGTATCAAAGAATGATGGAAGAACAAGCAGAGTACGATCAAGAAGCCATTCAGATACTTAAGGACATGCTTATTCAAAAGGAGAAAGAAATCACAATGATGGAAAAGGAGCTTCAGATTTATAAAGAGAAATTCGGAGAAATAAACAAGGAAGATATCGAGAGATTTGCACGTGATCGTGATGATTTTGAAAGCGAGAGATTTCAGCTTTCTGGGATGTTGAACAACTTGGAAAATCTTATACATTCGAATACAGATGATAAAGGCGTTGGTTATAACAAAGATATAGGTATACGTGTATTTTCAACACTAAAACCAATCTTTTACAAATTATATTTGCTAATTTTGTAATTTCGATCAACAGAAGAAGAAAAGAAAGCTAGCTTGGAAAGAGAGATGTCTTTGATTAAAGAAAGAATGAGTGTGATGGAATCAGATAATGAATATCTGAAGCACACAGGAATGGCACTTCAAAAGGGTGATGAAAGAGCTGACCTTCTTACAGAGATAGCTCAAAATCTTCGAAAGCTCAGGGCATGACAAAACACATAAATTAACAATCTCTCCAGTTTTTGATAATTAAAAAAAAAAAAAAAAAAATCTGAAGCAAACAAATATTTTGATTTTGTCTTGAAATCAGAAAAACAATTTACAAAAAGTAATCCGGGGTTCTGCGTGCAGTGTCGGGCTCCACCTGGCGAGGGGCAGGGTCAAACTGTAAGAAGTTTTGGTCCATCTTTTCTCCAATTTCAAGTATTGCAGCCATGTTTCCACATCTGTAGCAATAATTCGGTGCACTGAATACAGTTACAACATTATTTTCCTAAAAAAAAAAAAAAGTTAGTTTTTTAGAGAGTATATATTGTTATAATAGATGTATAATGTTTGCAAACAAACCTGAGACCAATTGTAACCTTCCATAACAAGCTGATGAGCTCTAGAAATAAGGGTGAGGCCATTTGTGTGGTTAAATTGTGCAGCTATATCTTGTCCAAAAGTGTACCCGGCCCCACGAGGTGAGATTCCCCAACCACATCGGTCATCAGGGTCAGACCACAAAAGGTCACACATTGGCCCTTCATGAGGAACCTGAAGAATTAACATTACAAATATAACTGCTGAAAGTTTTTAACTTATATGTTTTGATAAGGTTGATGCTTTATATACTAACTGATTACTGAATACTGCTGACCTCTTGTATGCGATCTAAAGCACGAATGTTGTCAAGTGTATCTAAAGAAGGAGACAACCCACCATGAAGACAAAAAACCTGCAATCATAGTTCATAACTTCATATTCATAGTAAGTAAATGTAAGTTGAATATGGGAAGGAAGGTGGGTGATTTAATTTTTGCATACCTGGCTTTCAATAAGGGCAGTGAGGGGGAGATAATCGAAAAGGTCAGTAAAATGTTTCCACACATTGGCATTTCCGTATTTCCTCAAGCACTCGTCGTAAAATCCATACCTGAAAGTCAGGGAATTCTTTGCATTGTTCAAAGTTTGAAGATCATTTTAGAAGCACGATTACTTCCTGTATAATTCCATATTCGAGAAGAGAATTTGTGCAAGACAAATCACAATTTGTAGTAACACTATAAGTCTATAACCATAGCTTGTTAAATGGAAGCAAGGGTTGTGAGTTGTGACATATTTTTATTATTCATCTTGGTTGATATGGATTTACATTGATATGTCATAAATCTTGCCATGCTAATTACCACAAAACACAAGAAAATATCTATTCTATCTTGACAAACTAATAAGGTAACAAAATTAAATTTCTAGTTGCGATGGAGTTGATAGGTAAAGAAACGAAATCTCACACTTGAGTTATTTGTCTGCTCTCATGGTTTCCTCTGAGAATCGTAATCCTATCTCTGTAACGAACTTTCAACGCCACTAGAAGTGAAACAGTCTCCACCGAGTAGTAACCTCGATCTGCATGAATCAAATAAGAACATACTCAACAACGAAGCAGATTCAACCACAATCATCTTCATCATTCTATAGCAAGTTAAATTGACTAATCAATTTTGACCTAATCAACAATATCTGCTCCACACACAACAGTATGTAATGCATTTAGTTGTCAAGAGTACAGTACTAACCAACATAGTCTCCCATAAACAGATAATTAGTATCAGGAGCACTGCCGCCTATACGAAAGAGCTCAAGTAAGTCGTGGAACTGTCCATGTATATCTCCACACACAGTCACCGGACATTTGACAGGTTGTACGTTCCACTCTTCCACTAAAATAGCCCTCGCCTGATCACAAAGCGTCCTCACCTCTGCCTCAGGTAGCGGCTTACAGTCCATCAAGTGCTCGATCTGACGGTCTAGATCCGATTGCAACGGCATTTTAACGGATTTTTTTATGTTCGGATTCAAAGATCTGGAAAGAAAATGAGCATTTAGGTTATATGAAGCTCCACTGGAGTCGCCGGCGACCTTGATCAAGGTTCGCTCATTTCTGCCGGCGGCGGGAGATATTTTAGGTCTTTGGAGAGAGGGAGGGGCAGCTTTGAAATGTTTTGAACCATGGGGTGGTTAAACTACTTATTTCAAGCTATTCGTTTAGATGTCGTCCTCGAATTTATGTGTTTTTAACATTTGGTCGAAAATTTAAATTTCTTTTACATATAAACTACTTATCATTTAATTACAACGGTTTTCTCTTATTTATACATCTCTTCTTTTGCCCGGTTCAAAAAAAAAATAATTAATTAACAACCATAATTTTTAATTTGGTAGAGCTTCATTAAAATTTTTTTTTTTTTTTAAATCTGTTTTTTAGTTGAATTGGTCTGGTAATCGATTTTTAGTTTGATCACCGGCTCAACCTGGTTTACATAATTTTTATGCATTTTTTTTTCATATATATATATATATATATATATATATATATATATATATATATATATATATATATATATATATATATATATATATAACCATGATTTTGACATCCACAAACATGAACCCTTATCATAATGAATTATATTATAAAGTCATAGACGTATCAGTTGATAAGTAAAAGGTTTCTAATTTGAGAAGATCGGAGTTGATAAGTAAAAGGTTTCCAAGTTGAGAAGATCGACGTTTGGATTGGTGTGTCGAAGTTGTGTACAGTAGTGGTGTGCGTCATCGGTCTTTGAGTTGTGTACACTTTGAATAACCTGATTGTGCGGGTTGTTCAATTTGCTTTGGAAATTGGGTCTTTTTAACGGACCAATCAAATCCAACTATTAGTTACAACACACCGGTTCAAGCAGTTTTTAACTAGTTCAAAACATTTTTGAATAAACTATTTGGTTTTATCTGGTTTAAAAAATGACATGAAATTGGTCGTTATTGAAAAACTCTCAGCTTAAATGATGATCGAAGTCATGAAAATGTATTAATTTAGCCATTTAAGTTCTGACGACGCATAATCAACCACTAAGGCATTCTGGTATGCTCATCACGAGAGGGTTCGTGGTCTACGTGGCCACTAACCACGGATGTGAACATCATCCAAAGGTTTTAGTGGTGGCTAGTAGTGGAGCTATTCTGTTGTCATCTGTGGTGGGAAGAACAGAACACCACAGCCAATAAACTTGCTTCTCTCTCTATTTCTCTTTATCTCTACCTACCTTTCTCCACCTATCTCTACAATTTAATTAATTAAAATATATGTATTTTTTTATTTTAATAATCAAAAAATAAAAAGGATATAGTGGTGAGTATCCCAAGCTTTTAGTGGTAGTTAGTGGTGATGATATGACACTCACACTATAATGGTTAGTGGTGGGTATAACGGATGACCTAAGGTCTTGAATTTTGGTTGAATTACCCCTTACGTCCTTTTATTCTCGATTAGCTAGTTTTATGCTTATGTGGAGTCGACGCGACAATTCAAAAAATATATTTTAATTCTTTCTCTTGCCCTTACGACCTTCTATTCATGTCCCAACTTCACGTCCCTATCTCTCTTGTTTCATCCATCGCAATCATGTCTTTCTCCACTTACTTGTTGAAATCAATCTAGGAAGGTGTTGTCGCCACCACTCAAACACCACTACTGCAACCTCCAATATTATTTGCCAGAATCAACCTAAGAAGGCATTGTCGTCACTACAACCACCAATGTTGCAACCTACATTATTACTCACTTCTCCATTCTCTTTGTTTTAGGTTGGGTAAAAAAAACCAAATGAAGTTCATCTATAAACACAAATAAACTTTGATTGAAGATTTTCTTCATCACCAAACCATGTCTAATGTGTGTACGTGTGTTTTCAGTTCTCGTTCACTTTTTTTTTTTTAAAACAACAACAATATAATAAAAACCAAACACTAGCAATAAGCTAATAGAAAAGCAATACAAATTTAGGTGTTAATTGGATTTTTCATCCAATTAGTCCATGAAATAGTAAAATTATATTTCTACCTTTAAACCAATTAAACAAACATTCTTGGATGGTGTTTGTTTCCTACAAAAATGACATCATTTGTGAACGACCATAAAACCCAAAAAGTGGTCATTATAACCGACTCAATACACACATTTTTACTTCGAACCAACGACACCGTATCCAACCACGAATGAGCTTAAGTGGCCTTTTGAACCTCGTCAGAACAGTAGCTAAAACGACACGCTTTCGTAACCTTGATGGTCATTTAAGTCAAAACTCCTAATAGCAATTAACAATTTGTAAACTTCAATTGTTTGTAGAAAAAAATTATAATACAATGAAAAAATTAAAAATCAAGACCAAATTCATTGTTATTGTTGGATACAACCCGAATGAAAAAATTGTGAATATTTTGTGCAAGTGCTACGAGTATTACAAATATGACTATTAGGGTGCAAGGTATGGTAATAAATTGGATGCATAATTCTTTAGGTACCCATGGTACCAAAGGGAACACCATCTCCCCCCCCCCCCTCGGTACCACACGAGCTAAGAGATAAATAATTTGTTGAACCTGCTGCTCCTACTCTATTTTCTCTCATCTCCATTTGTACCGTATGCATCGTAACTTTGTACCAAAAGGTATGGGTTTAGAGGAATGATTGTTTTCATGTATTATAGGTTGGAAATAAAAGGATGTAGAATTGATGTGATGCATATGTAGCATGTGGGTTCGAATGTGAGAGGGGTGAACTTAGGCCTGTCAAATCGGGCCGTCGTGTCATATTTTTGTCTGATACGACACGACACGACAAGGTTTTTTGTAACACGACACGACACGATGTCGTGTTTTTTTTCACTAACACGAAAACGAACCAATTAAAAAACGACAACACGACACGACACGACAAAGATAATATTACATAACTTTTATCTTATTTAATTCATATTTAATTATATATAACACGATAAAAACGACAAACACGAAAACACGACAAATACATGCTCAATCGTGTCAATTTCGTATACATTTGTAAACACAAACACGACATCGTGTTTTTTAAACTTGACACGAACACAACACGAAAACGAATTCGAATTTTGATTTCGTCCCGATTTCGTTTCGTGTCGTGTATTTTT